GGGGGGGGGATGGAGTCTCAAAGAGAAAATATGTAAAAAGATCAACTGTCTGTATTAGGAAAGCTGAAATCAATTCTCAGCATGCATAAATTTCAGTAAGGTTTAGAATTTGCCAATTTAAGAAGATTCAAGAAAAGAGTACCAGATTGATTATGGCAACAAAAACAAAAAGAATTTAACCATTCTGATACTACTATACAAGAATTGCCAGAGGTGAAGTCCAAAATCCATATCGATTTCAAACTCGTTCAAGATTCTTCCTTCGAGAAATAACTCTCTGGCAACGAAAATTCTTCCTCTTGATTTAGGATTTCTGCATCCTCGTCATCTGGTTTCTGAAATTAGTTAAAACGGACATCAGAGTAAGAACACTCATCCCTCGTAACTCCAAGAAGAATTTGCCCCACAAATCAAGATTCTATCCTACGAAATAGAGATAACTATGCCTACATTGAAGGTCCTATAATATATACGACGACAACTACAACAAACTCAGTGGATTCCCACAAGTGGGGTATGGGGTATGGGGAGGGGAGGGCGTACACAAACCTTACCCCTACTCTGGGCAGGCAGAGAGGCTATTTCCGTTAGACTCTGAAGGTCCTATGATATATAATTGAAAAATATAGTAATATAAGCAGCTTATTCAAAATGTGCACTACATAACTCCTAAGGTAAATTATGCAGTCAAACAAATTCTCTTTGAAGTATTTCAATCTCTTTCCTTCCTGGTTAAATATCAATAGGATGTCTGTCGTATAGGGCCAGAATTTAGCAACAAACTGAAGAGATCTGTCTCCTTGATGTCGCTTTCAATGTCCTAATCTTAGTCTCTTGGAGAAAACTGGACCAACTATGATATATTAAGAAGAAACTCAAATTACAACTTAAAGAACAGTGTGCAAATATGTGGCTCAGTGCGTCCACTTTGACCCTGCTAATCATAGAGCACGAAGAATGGCTTTATTTATATGTAACTTCTCCTGCTACAACGAGCAGCCTTTCAAAGTCAAATACTGAATAACAGGAAAGTTATGACANGAAGAGAGTTAATAAAAGAAAAGGACAAAAAGTAGCCTAGTAACCTTCTACGCAGATATTCTGTTAAGCCGTAAAGGACAAAATGACGATGTATGCCTGCAATAAGAATCAAGGTGAACATGTTAAAAGCAGCTAGCAAAATTTAATGCAAGCTACTCTGCCCTTTCCACACCTTCCATTCTTTTGCCCTTCAGAAACTTTTTTTAAAAAAAACATCCAATAATATTCTTATGATTACAGCTACTTTTTCTTCTCTATCACTGCATTTTTACGATTTCAACGGTTATATTGTAATAGATATAGTATCAATTATTGTGACAGTGATAATTAAATTAAAAGATATTCCTACTTAGCTAAATCGCTCTCTGTTACAGATAGCGTAATCTCGCAGCCAAATAGCATGAAAGTAATTAATTCTGTACAGGCTAGGTATAGAGCAATAATTACTAAGAATCTTGCAACATCAGGAAACACTGAGATGATATCCAAGTATATGATCCAGCCAGATATTAGATCAAAGTTAAGAATCATGTAAGCAAGGTAACTATGATACTACAAAGTCAAACGCTTCAATCAAATTAAGCTTTGAAAACAACTATGCAGCTCCATCTTTATGCGAGCATGTAGAGGAATTTCCTACCTAGCTCCAATTATTTTATGTTACTTTGTTTATAATCTACCTATCTCCAGTTATACCTAGCTCCATTTATACACAGGCATGCTGCATATACTTTCTTTTTTTTGAGTAATGTAAAATTTTATTAACAGAATAGCACCCAGAAAGTGCTATACTATTACGAAAAAAGGGGGTGACTACAACTCTATTTAATAGCACGCTACATATACTTAGGCACCATTTGGTTGGCCAAATTAGCAAACTAATCTCTGCATAAAGTATAACGAAGTTTGGTTGGGGCACATAAGAAAAAATAATATGTGTATAACTAATGCATGAAGTAATATAGGGTTTAGTTGTTGCTATTAAGTTTAGTATCCATATGCCTTTATGTGGGAATATATTTATTATTTATGCGGGCCATAATGTAGAATAAGAACACGTGAAATAGAAATACGTGGATAAAATTATTTAAAGACAAAAATATCCTTAAAACTAGGTAGTTCATCGGTTATCCACTGCATAACAATTCGTATATTGCTATTCACGGGAAGAATATTGTGTCATCTTCAATCCCGGCATATTTCGAATGCTGGAAGCATCGATTTTTAATTTCATTAAGACTTGATAGTTCAGAAGAGCAATTAATTTGATCAGAATAGTAGAATGGAACGCAATAAAGGAATTAAATACTCCTTTCTTTTCCAATCGCCTCACATAGACAGACATTGGGCGAGCTTCTTGAGATTCTCAATCACTCTTTTTAATGGGAAGGAGTAGTGCGGGAAGAGAGTGAGACCAAGTCGAGCCACTAGTAGAGGAAGCCCTTCCCACGTATTCTAGTTGAATACGATTAAATGGATGCAATATCAACTAGAGAGATCAACATGCGCCTTTGAGTTGAGGCTGCTGGTGGCATAGAACGAACTAATCAACGACCGGGAGCAACCTGAATGGAATTGTTACTTCCCAAAAATCTTGCTTTAAAATCAAAGAAAGAAGGTCTATGTTGCCACGGCATAACAACCTACATTATTATTTACTACATAAGCAGAGCTCTAAGTATAACGGTAAAAATTGTGCGCTAAGGTGCGCAATGCATTAAATTTCTTCAAACCATAGTAATCAAAGCACCTCAATTTCCATAGACCTTCAATATGTTCCAGATTATACCACAAGTTCTTATCCACCACATTTTACTTCTGAACTAGACAAACTATGATAAAGTTGCCACCTTTCAGCTTTAATAACAAAAACACACCAAGACATAAGGCAATTAATTGAAGAGGATACATATAAAATGTGTAATGACAGATAAAAAGTGACAAATTATACCTCTCAATTTGGCAGGGGGATAGATTTCAAGAGCCTCCAGCAATCTTATCTCCAATTCCACCTGTGATTGCTCCTATAGCTCGAAAATAAACATGCTCAGAAAAGAAACAAAATAATTGATAAACCACGGTAGACAAAGTTACGTGATAACTGTGCTAGGGAGAGGTAGCAGATACGTGGTGTAATAATCGAGTTGCGCGCAAGCGGGTCCGGACACCACCGTCATTAAAAAAAAGTTTCATATAGCTGACCCCAACTAGTTTACAATTAATAAATTATACTATAATCTAAGACATAACATACATATGATACATACACAACCATGTCACAGCAAAGAATAATAAATAATTAAAAAACAATGAAGAAAAAGGATACCTTACGAAGAGCAGAAGAGGGAGGTTTACAAGGAGAATGTACGGACATGCCATCTTGTTCGTCATGCTCTCCTCCTTCTTCTACTTCCTCTTCTTCTTCTTCTTCTTCTTCTACTGTTTCCTTTTTCATTTCCTCTTCTTTCTTGCCTTTCCCACTTGCCCCAGTGTTCTGCCCCATTACTTTTTTTTTTTTTTGGTTCTTCGCTCTTGGGGTTTTATGGGTGTGGGGAATTTATCACAGAATGATGCATGAAAGATTGGATTTTGATGTAATCGTTTGTTTCTTGAAAGGGGTTTTGATCAATTTTTGTTGAGAAAAGCTCGGTATTCTCAGTTTGATTTTAGAATCAAGATTCTATTGGGCTGGTTTTTTTGGGGTTTTGAATGTGGAGAATGGTAAAATTAACCCAAGTAGTAACTCAGCATCGGTTTAAACTAAAAATAATCGATAAATGTATAATATATGTATAATTTATATATTATATGTGTATAATCAATACATAATGTACCAAGATGGTTAGAGAAAGTAAATAATGAATATGGCCAGCTATTTGTGTAAAAATTTCTTTTGAATGTCAAAATAATATGGGCTAGCCATTTTCAGACTGGTAATTAGAAAATAGTCAATATTTGTAAAGTTATTGAAAAATACTTACTATTTTATGCCGAGATAAAATCTGGATAAAAATATCCTAGCTGAAACATGAAAAGTTCCAGCGTAATATACTGGATTATAGAGCTCATGCGTATAAACTTCCATCATATTATGTTATAATCTCAAATGTAAAAATTATGAATTCCAGCATATTATGCTAGAAATTTTTCCAGATTTTTAAAGGTGTTTTGTTCAAATTTTATATTTACATAAAAAAAAAGTAATTAAATTTCGATTATTTTTGAAATTGTAGCTAATTTTCAATTAACAGTTGTAAATCGTGCGAGTTTTTGATTATTTCTTTTTCCGTTTTGAATTGGAAAAGTTTTGGGCTACAGAATGCAGAAAATTTAAACGTCAAATAAAATTAATATTTCTAAATTAAAGGAATTATTTGATCAGTCGTAAGAGGATATAGATATATCTATTTTGTAAAATTAAATAAGTATTTGCACTTTTTTGTTCCAATTATAACTCCAATTAATAAATCTTCATTATAGTAAGTTTATTCCAATTTCCTTTATTCAAAATATTTCTAAAAGAAAGAAAGCTCATGTGCGAACCATGTGACCTGCACCCCCTTTTCTTCACGGAGGGGATACCCTGTTATTTCAAGTTTTCACATAGAACCTGCCACCCATAGGCGTATGCAATGTAGAAGCTATGGTTAAACTTAACTCATAGCTTTCGTTTATACCCTATATATTTACCTAAAAAATTATCAAATATGTATAAATAATAAATTTTGAGTCCATTAAATTAGATGAGATACAGTAAAATTGCAAATCTGAACCCATAAAGTTAAATTTTGGATCTGCCTCTGCTGCCACCCATTCGGAAGCCATAAGTAGAGTGTCTTCAGCTACGTGAACAAGATAACTTTCAAAAGTACCATGGTGGGCGGAGTTACTCGATGCCTATGCCGGTAAAAGTAGGACGTATCCACTAGAATAGTTGGGATATGTATAGATTGGCTAAGACATCACGGTTAAAAAAAACAAAAATTATAGTTTTAACATGTACTTAAGTTAATTTAAGAAAATATGCACTCAAGGATGCTTGCACCTTTTGCAGATTCAGGAAGAAACCTAGAGTGCCTAATAGGTCCATTTCTGCAAGAAATTCGGTCACTTTCAAAAGTGTTTTAGTCCAAAAATTGGCCTTGAACTTGACAGTTAAAGGAATCAGACTCTGAAAGTCAAAAATACGTATGCTCAAAAGGAAAAAAGAAAAAAATCAAAAGTGTTTAGGCAACCTTGGTTAAGTGTAAGAAACTTTGGCCCTTAGCCTTGGCTGTCCGTGCAAATACATCATATGCAAACATATGTTCAGAAAAATAGGCACATTAGCACAGCCACAACTGACAGAAAGCTGATATTGAATGGAGAAATCTGTCTTCTGGTATTACAAAAACTTCCCCTTTTTTTGTGGCTAGAATGGTAAGACAAGGCTGTTTCCGATAGACCCTCGGCTCAAGGAACAGTGAAAATAAAGTAACAAGCAGTAGCAACAAAAGTTAAGAACCAAAAATGGTAACCAAAATCAGATAAGAGTATCGATTATGGAGAATTGAAAACAAGAATGAAGCAGAAAATTGTATTTGATGCAAACTGCTTCAGCATGAAAAGTGCCTACAGTTTATTCACAATGAGCTGAATATCTCATTGCATTAGCAAAATTGCCTGTCTTTACGCTTCCTAATGGGTGAAAAAAGAATACATAAATATGTTAAAACAAGAACCTTCTAACCAGACACCATCCTCCACAGCTTAATACTAACCAGAACTAAATAATTTACAGCCACTGCTTAAAGGATCGCCCGAGGCATATGAGATGCAACACTACTAAACTTTGTGAACACCTACATCAGCACTCAGGTGTTCCACTAGCAGAGGCAAGCTAGAAGAAGAGGAAAAAGAGTCCAACATTCTAATCCCAGCAAGTTTCTTCAGCAAAGAGCCGAGAAACCGTGTCGACTATGCATGCAATCTCTGATTCACCTCAGCACCATCTAACCAGCGTATTCCGTGCTGTATTGAAGATCAAAAAGCATGTTCCGTCGATTCTCTGTGCCCAGTCGGATGTTAAACTTTTTGGCCAAGTCCTCGACTCGATCATCAGACTCATAATCCATCTCTCGAGTACATCGCCTTCGGATCTTTTTCAGCATCTCCTTGGAAGGTTTATACTGCGCATGCACCTGCACATGAAACAATAGCATAATTCGTTAGCTAAAATGAAAAGCGGGCTCATTTTCTTCACTGACGATTGCAGGGGTCTGGGAGAGTGAAAGCTTTTACCATCTCATCAACTACTGAAATTGCAGCTTTCGGTTCTCGCTTAATAAGATGAGCATCAACAAGTAGAGAATATGTCATTTCATTTGGCTTCACGCCTAAATCCATGAAGTGCTCATAGACTTTTGTTGCTTCATCTCTCTGCAACAAGAAAAGATACTTTGTCAATAATCATATAATCGTGCATCGCATGCAAATGTGCACTCCCATTATTTGTACATCTTAAGACTGCTAGCAGAGGATTCTATCACCATACAAATGAAAGAATGTAGTTCCGACGTTTTATTAATAACAGAACTTGGGATAATGACCTTCACAGATTATTATAATGACCTTCAGATCTCACATTCATTTCTATTTACCTTGCCAAGTTTCGCAAATGCATATATCAGAGCATTGTATGAATGGATATCTGGGACTAATCCAAAAGAGGATTCAATTGCAGCAAATGTCTGATAAGCACGATCAATATCCCATATATTGGCACAACCTAGAATTACACAATTGAGGGCAGCAACAGACTTGTAAGGGGGGTCTGCTCGGCTCAAATTCTCCAGCTGATAGTAAACCTGAAATCTGTAGAGGTCAGCAGCGATACAAAGTGCAAGGCCACCATATAGAGAACATCTGACTGACTTAAGTAGGTGCAGCAAAATGCTAAGCTGTGAGATATGCAAAGTTGGGAATTAGACGATCAATTTATTCCCTAATTTCAGCATGTCTTAGAAGAAGCTAAGAAAAAGGGGAGAGTGCTGAAAAAATATGAAGAATGCAGCAGGATGAACATTTAAACATCAGTAGCAGAAATTTTCAGACCTACTTCACACGTGTTGAGATACTTGATTAATAAAACTTGACGCAAACCAATATTAGGCAGGGTATACTTGAAGAGAAAGAACATACAGAGTCCAAAGTGACAAAACCATTCCTGCAACAAGCAACAGCCAGTGGATTCAAGGTGGTAAACGGAGAAAATAGTTCTGCACTCTCTTCTTTAGAACTACCATAAGCTTTCTCAAACTCATGCAGGGTAGCAAAAGCATTCTGCAATTGCCCCAAAGAAGCGTGGGCATATATCTTCGCAAGGAAAGATTCAGGGTTAGGGGCCCTCATTTGCCGTAGTGAGCGCTTAAGGACTTCCCAAGCACCATTAAGGAGTTTAGCATTGTAGGTTCTACCAGCAGTTCCAAGTGCAGCCACAAGCAGTCCTTCATCAACAGAGAGCGAAACAGGGGGCCTCACACTCTCACCTCTAACAACCCATTTCACAAAGAACTCCAAGGAAGAAAAAGCTAGTTCATTATTATCTGCCTGTAGTGCAACATCAGCAAGGTGTGTGCACATGTTCCAAGGCGGCAATAGGCCTTTGTTCTGGTCTGTTTTCTGGCAAAATCCACAAAAGCGGCATCAGAGACTAAAATATATTTTAAAAAAGGTGAAGCTTCATGGTAAGAATTATCTCAACAAAGGCATACATACCTTGCATTTCTCTATTATCGACACCAATATATCCAGCCTGTTGTTGAAGACACAGCTTCGCACACACTCATTAAATACATTCATGGACAGCTTATACCCAGATTTCAAGGCTGAATCAACATATTTCAAGGCAGCATCAATAAGGTCTGCTTTAAACAGTAAGCCCATAACCAAGTCATATGACTCATCATCAGGCAAAGCTTCTTTATACTCTTTTCCAGTCTGAATCATCCTGGCATAAGTATGACACAAGAAATCTATCAAATAGCATTAATGCATGACAGAGTACTTACATGCATGGTGAAAATACACAGTGAGCTGTGGCAATCAGACCACGCTCAATAAACACCATTAGGTTGCCCTTAACACTTAGTAAACATACTATCCAACACAAACGACAGAAGCAATAGAATGGAGGAATAACCAAACTGAGAGAAAGGAAGCTTAAAAGCGACAAAGCGGAGCAAAGACATGGCAGACATTACTTCTAAGCAAGAAATTAAAGGGGAGAAAAACCCAAATAACAAACCTGATCAGAAGCTTGGCTACAAAAAAAAATATTGAAACCAGCTAACTCAATTCATTTTAGAGGCAGTAACATCTCTTCTTCTGGCAACTTTAAATGTTTCATTATTTTGGAGGGCAAAATATAGGAGAGAGATTTTGCAATGGCGCCCGAATGTGTTGCAATTCGCAAGACCAGTTAAATCCGGAAACATATCCCTGAGACATCACGGGCAAGAACAAGAAACAATTTGATTTGAAGCTCCCTGCTTTGCTTTCACATTCATAGGACCGCAAATGTCCAAATCAATTAATTGCAATGAAAATTCGCTCTTGATGCCTTTTCCAAATGGTTTTCCTGTAGCTTTTCCACCTAGACAATGTTCACAAGTGGACTCATCCACATGTTAAATTTAGCTGGTAAACCTTTTTTTGCTAGCCTTTGCATACGCCGTGG